CCAGCCCTGGGCTCCGACTGCCTCTTCCCAGCCCAGCCCAGCCCCGGTGTCTCCCTTCTATGCTGTGGCTCCTGCAGCTGCTACCAGGCTTGTGGCCTGTGGGATTCTGCTGGATTCTGCTTCCTGGGACAGAGGGCATGTTTGGGGGGCTATGGAGGAAAGCTCAGCCCCGGTCCTGGCACCACCAAGCCTGGGAGGCCAGAGCATGACCATATGGCCCCATGCTGTGGGTTGGCCCGTCGAGAAGCAGACGGGTGGGGTGTCCCCCAGCCTGCAGAGGTGGTGAGGGGCAGAGTGCATCGGGGCCCGGCGCTGCGCGGGCCCGACCAAAAACTCCACCGGGCTGGGGGACGCGGGAGGGCGGGGACCACCCTCTCGCAGGACTCGCTCGATGTAGGCCAGGGCATCTGTGGGCAGTGCAGCTTTCACCTCCCAGACTAAACGTGAGCAAGTTGCACGCCCTATGGTCAGGCCCGTGCGCCGGGCCAGCGCCGCGGGGCCCAACCTCCTGGGGCACAAGGGCTTGGCTTGTGGGGAGGGTTGGGGCATGCGGGGAGGCTGCAGGGCAGAGGAGCAGGGCTGGGGGAAGGGCCTCAGATGGGATCCCCAAGGGTGAGGCATAGGGCAAGGCATTGTCTGTGTTGTGTCCCTTGTGCTTGGTAAGGGACTGGAGGAAGCCCAGCACAGGGCAGTGGGCTCATCTGCCCACCCGACGGGATCCTTGGGTTTGAGTCTGAGTGCGGCAGGGCAGGTTCGGAGCTGGGGTTTCCTGTTGCTTCTCAGCCTTTTGGCTGTGATCCAGTTCCTGTCCAACACAATGTTGCTTCGGCTCCTGGGGAGGCTCGCGCAACTGCTCTGGGCTGGATCCTTGCAGTGAAAACACAGCCACGAAGGCTCCTAAGCTTGTGGTCCTGCTCCTGGTCATGGGGGTTGTGGCCATCCCTGGGGCTGGGGATGGTGAGTGGCGGTGCCTGCAGCAAGGCCAAGGGCAGCGGGCAGTTGGGGGTCCTCATCCGGGGACTGCAGGGCACAGCCAGGCGGGGAGTCAGCAGGCTCAGTGCTGAGCTCTGAGTCAAGCTGTGGGGTCTCCACTGACTTCCACTGCAAGGGGACCCAGTTGGCAAGGTGTGACAGGGGGGGGGGCGGCGGGGGAAGAAGCGCCGGTG